TGGGATTGTCGACGGGTTGTTCGGCTGGCCCCCACTGCTAGGCCGCGTTCATAGTTCGCGACTCGGGAGATTAGGATAGTAGGCGACAGGATATTAGGATAGTAGTAGAGTAGGAGATTGCGCTGACAAGATTGGATACGTATCGATTGAAATCGCTGGAGAGTAGTAGATTGGGCGACTTCAAGCGAATAGATCAATACATATCTAATCTTGTCAGCGCACTATCCTAATCTACTACTATCCTAATCTCCTACTCTACTACTATCCTACTATCGTAGTATCGTAATCTACTTCTCTCCGACGAGCTCTATCTATCTACATATCTACCTAGACGAGTACGTATCTTATCTTGTCAGCGGATTACCCTATTCTACTACTATGCTGGTCTCACTGTCAATACAGTCTTTTTTGTCGCGCACTATCCCAATCTCAGGAGTCGCAAACTCTGAACGCGGCCTCAGTCGGCCATCTGAAATACGATGAAAACGGAAACTCCACAGATACATGAACAAGTTACTGACGGGCACACCACCAACAGTCTGATCCCTGTGTGTTTGAATCAAGGACTGTACCACAACTGCCCCATTCTCCTCCACCTCCATCCCTAAGACATGGACTATATGTACATTCATTAGTAGACCTTGGGTGTAATCGTCTGCTCTGAGTAGGTTTTGGAATCTTTGGCCTGTAGTTTTTCGTTTTGTTGACCAGGTGACGCCGCTGGGTTTTTGAGTGGCTTCCGGAGGAATGATTCTTTCTACACAGCTCTTGTTTTCTCTTCTGCCTGTTCCAGCAGTAAAGCTATAGACGGTGATGCTAAAGCACAGTGTAAAGTGAGGAGACACAAGGTCAGCGAGACAGTTTCGAAAGCTTGGCAGGGCCAAGAAGGGGCTTAAAATTGAATTGTGAAGAATACTATGAAAGGTGCTCTCTGCCCCGAACCAGAAGCACGTCGACTGCAGACCGCACACCACGAATGAGAACGGTCTCCAAGGAACTCTAGTAACTATTGATTCATAGTGATAGCTGGTAGTTGGTAAATGAGAGTTGCTACTAATTACATTCATCCAACTGACAGAATCATTTATATTTTCGGGAGGCCGTCGTCGCTTGTAGTGTGTGGTCTGCACTCGACACACTTCTGGTTTTCTAAAACACAGGGGAAGGTTCCTGGCAAAAAGAGGAGGTGCGACCGATAGAGCCTGTCAAGTAGGGGGAGGGGGGATTCGGAAAGCAGGTCAAGTAGGTGAGAATCAGCGACAATATGGGATAGATTCGTGAGCGGAAAAGTTATGATGGGCTACCGTATAGATCTATGCAGAGCATTCGCCCTTTAATTCTACTTATTGAACTGAACAAACTCACTAAACAAATTCCTATTGCTCCAATCGCAATCGAAGCCAACAGTATGCGACCGAGCCACGCTGAAATAGAAATTCTTTAGTGATGGAGGCAAAGTACAGCAGGCC